GGGCGGAGCCAGGAGCCGAGTTGGCACAGCCAGAGATCTCCATACAAATAATGTCGCCCAAGTCCACGGTCCTCTGTGTCATGATGCAATACATAAGTATGGACCGGGTCCAGTGCAGGTTGGAGACGTGGGAGCACGTAAGGATGTTGGCATGTACCAATGCTGACCAAATCCTGACCACTAGCAGAAGATCTCGGCGTTTCACATGTAGAGGCTGCTGAGATCGGTTCCTGTGGAACCCCAGTCCCGACATGCAGATGACAGCCTCTACGTCCGCAGGGTCCATGGTGTTAATAGAGTAGTTGCCATACTCATTCACCTCGTCAGTCCTCAGCGCAGTCCCCAGAAACTGATTAAGAGTCCGGGCATCATAGGGGACTCGCACTCCCCGAACATAGCTGGTAAATGGCTCAATGCCCTCTTGTCTCAGAGCATTGGCGTAGAACTCCTTGACCACAACTATGTTGGTCGGGAGTGGGTAGGAACCAAGCTTGTCCCACCGGCGTCGGTGTAACTCGTTATGGAACTCCGGGGCCTCCCTGCCTTCTATCTCAACCCTCCGCTCTAAAATAAACTTCCTGCTACTGATGGACTCGAAATGCTTTTCATTCTGCTCGGTCAGGAAGAGATCAGAATAGGGCCGACTTGGTTTGCGCGGAGGTTGACCCGACTTGCCTGCACGGGGGCGCTTGCTTGATGAGGCCATCTGCAGAAAATAAATCAAAAATTCTAGGCAGATAAACATGAGCACAAAACATACAATGATGACCAGTGCAAATTAGTCAAAAGGAAACTAGCCTTAGACTAAAACTGGGACCTAAAAAGAAACTAAAAAACAACGAAAACAAGGGTTCAAAGGTGAATTGCGCCGGGCTTATGATTCGTGCGCCTGGCGCAGAGAGTGTAGAAAACTCTCTGGAGTCATTCGCGCTGGGCGCAAAACAGAATTGCGCTGGGCGTAGAGAGTAGAGAGGACTCTCTGGAACCGACTGCACTGGGTGCAAAAATGAATTGCGCCGGGCGCAAGTGAACGCTTTTTTGAAAAGTAGCCCAGAACGGGCTGTTCCAAGATCAGAACGGGCCGTTCTTCAGTTCGAAACGGGCCGTTCTGGAATTGGAACAGTCCATTCCAAATTCCAAAACGGGTCGTTCTGGACATGGAACAGTCCGTTCCAAAGTCCAAAATGGGCCGTTCTGGAATTTGAACAGGCCGTTTCGAAGCACTGCGCCTGGCGCGATTTCACCCCGATGAGGGTTAACATAAACCCCAAGAAATCCCAAAAAGAAGAAGAAACAAAATGTAGAACCAGTTATAACAGACAATAAAACGTTGAGTATGAACCTACTCGAGGTGGAGTGCATCGAGGAAGAAGAGTAGCCGCGTGCCCTTGAGAAGAAAATGAGTGGGGAGTACGGAAGCGGGTTCGAGATTGTGAGACTGAGTTGAGAGAGGGAAGAAGGCTTTTGGGAGATGAGAATGGGAACGTGGGAGGTTGAGATAGTGAGGCGTGAGATGGAGTAGGGAGGTTTGAAAGTGAAGAGTGGGAGTTGGTGTGAGGGGTTATTGGGGCACCTGAAGGGTCACGCCGGGCGTGCAATTCTCCTTATATGGTAAATGCGCCGGGCTTGGTCGTTCCAGGGGCTCAAATGAAGGCTGGGCCGGGCGCAATAGAAATTGCGCCCGGCGTGGGTCTTGGCAGAGCCCATTTACTCTAGGTGCGCTGGGCGTGGCTAGATCACGCCCGGCGTGGATAACTCTGTGAAGCTTTCACCTAAATTTTTCACTCCTCACACTTTTAACATATTCTAATCTATATTAACCCACTCAAGCAAGATTCACACAATTAACACATAACACCAAACACATATACTACAATACACATACATATCACAAAACATAAACAATCACAAAATAAGTCCCAATAACCCATATAAACTACAGTTATAACATAATCATAAACAATCAAAGTCAAAAACAACAAGGAGGATTGCTGGTACGTGATACCCTTGTGATGGTGGGCAAAGGAGTAAATGCTGAGTATTATTATGCCTGACCTCTTCAGGCTTCTTGCTGATGTTGATGATGTGATTGCCCCTTTACACTGGGAGGACGTCTGATGAAGATGAGGATTGTTGGTAGGTGGTGCCCTTGTGATGGTGGGAAAAGGAGTAAATGCTGAGTATTATTATGCCTGACCTCTCTAGGTTGCTTGCTGATGCTGATGATGTGATTGCCCCTTTTCTTTGGGAGGACGTCTGATGAAGACGAGGATTGCTGGTAGGTGGTGCCCTTGTGATGGTGGGCAAAGGAGTAAATGGGTGACAAAGATTCTAGTGTTGCCCTTGCCATGCGAGTATTGTGATGCCTCTCCAAGCGTCTGCTTATGGTAGGTTTTTTTTTTTTTTTTTTTTTGAATTTCATTTTTTGTTTAGCTTCGGCTCTTTCATGTTTGAAGCTTGCCTTTTTCGCTATTTTTCTAAATGCTTCGGCTTTTTCAACATTTATGAAGCTTGCCTTTTTCTCATGTTATTTTTGCTTTTTTATTGTCATCATTGGTGGAGGGATCTATTCCCATGATATTATTTGTTGAATCTTTATTGATGAGTATTATTTTGGAAGCTACTCCTGGCTTTGGTTAGGAAGTCATTCCTGATCTTGGCATTCTCTTAGATCATCCTTCATTCGGTTGAGGAGTAGGGCGCGATGGCCTTTTTATGCTTATAGACTTGCTTATTCTTCCTCTTTTCGTACTATCTCGTCTTGTTATTGACGTGTCTTTCTTCTCTAGGTGGCTATATGAAACCACTTGTATGGGATTCCCTTGTTAGGGCTAGGCTTCTTGACATGATCTTGGCTCTTAAGGCATTGTTTAGCTGTTGATCTTTTTGTACGAGTGCTTCAGCCTCTTGATTCCTCCAACAAGTGATGGATAGACACACACAAAGAATGCAAGAATGCAAAAGAAAATGCAAAGCAGAAATGGATTGGATTTTTTAAAAAAAAATTTGTGGACTTATACCCTTTTGTGCACACTTGTGCCATATGCTTGTTATGCAATGATGCTTCTATGTTAATGCTTAAAAGGAAACTTTATTTTTACTTTCAAGAAATTAATCTATGCACTTTCATCAATGACATGGATTGTTAGCCTTTAGCCGTGTCGAATTTAGTGTTTCTTCTTGAACCTGAGGTTTGTGTAGTCCGGCTCTCTCGCTTGTACCGAATATGATATGTTAGCCCTTAGATCAGGTGTACCTAGACTCTACTCTAGGACACCTTCATCTTCTCCTTGTGAGTGTTCATTGTGCATACTCCGTGTATCTCTCAAATTTATCTTAATGCCAGATACGTCAAGAGGAAAGAGAGGAAGAGGATATATACATATGTTTTTTTGCAAAAGTTTTGTTAGAAAGGATTTTTTTCAAAAATGATTTTAGAAGAATGGTTGGTCAAGGTAGGCTAGTGGTTTAGGCCGATGAACAAGCACATTCAAAGTGAGGAAATCATTTTCCATGTTGGCTTATTATTTCCTTCAAAGCTACGCGATGCTGCTTTGTCCTAACTTTTGCCTAGGTTACTTGAGATGTGTTCCCTAGCGGACCTTTTCTTTTTTATCTTCACTTTTGGCCTAGGCTACCCTTTTTGTTTATGGGTCTCCTAGTGGACCTTGCCCTAATTTTTGTGTTGCCCTCTCAATGAGTTTCTTGCGGGGCTTTTATCTTTGCAATATTTGTGATCATCTTTCATTCCTTCAATAAAGGGGAGGGTGCCCCTTGCACTGATTTCGCTTGGACTTTCGTCTGATTTTATTGTCCTCACTTAACAAGTTGGCGTTCTGGAACGGACCGTTCTGAATCTAGAACGTCCCGTTCTGCTGTACTGGTGGTGTGTTAATTTTGCATCTGGAACGGCCATTTCAGATGCAAAATTAACACACCAAGAGTGCACCTAGAATGGCTCGTTCTGGTTTCAGAAGGGCCTTTCTGGTTCCAGGTGTTTTCAAGAAATTTGGCATCCACGTGGTATCTACCTATGCATCTACGTGACATCCATGTGGTCAACAGTTAACTCCGTTTAAATAATTTAGACGAAAGTCTGACATTGCAACCAATTAATTTATTAGGGACCAAATTAAAACTAAAAATAAAAATAAGACTAAATTAAAACAAACAATTATTATAAAGAAAAAAATAGGTTTTTAGCATATAAGATAAATGTGTTAAAAAGCATTTTGTTAACACTCCTGTGGTATGATCATTGCTTAACTATATATGTACTTCATATCTCAATTAACTATATGATCTGATGTGAATTATATGTACTTCATATCTCATTGAAAATGTCAATGGACACACAATCTTACAATAATAATAAAAAAAAGGTCTATTTGGATTTTTTTTTTAAATAAATCCACTCTTTAGCACGTTTGAAATTATTAATGGGTGCAAAACCGAATATTTCAAACAATAAAAAAAAAATTAACAACATGATGATTCATCAAAATTGATTTATTGACCGTATATTTTATTTAGTAGCTTTCATTCTTTTTGAAGTTAGAAGGTTGACCGGCCGGTAATGCTGGGTTAACTTTACCTGCCAAGAAGAAATTAAGAGACTCTTCTAATAAGGGAAACACAACAACATTGTTTTCTGAACAATTTATGATTTATAATAAATTTTATTCAAGAATAATAAAGAGCATGTCCACAATATTAATTTATTCTTTTAATACTTCATTTATTCTATAATAATTACAATTTTAACATTTAAAGTACTTCTCAAAATAGATAATATTTTTAGTTTTCAATGTAATATTAATCAACATTTTACTAATTTATTAATTTATAAATCATAGAGTTACTACAATTAAAACTAATATATTTATGGTTAAATTTTGTTATTTTAGCAAAATTATTTATATAAAACTTGAATTTTTATTTAAAAACTTCGAAATACATTTGTACATAGAGATTAATATATAAATAGCGAAGTGTGGGCTTCACAGACAGACATACAGAATCCTAAGGATAAGAGAGAGAGGTATGGGTGGGTCTGAGGAATCGAAGTCAAGATGGGAAGGTGAAACTTCAATTGAAGTAGAAGGCATGAGTGCAGAACAAGTGTGGCCTCTGTTGGAAGACTTCTGTAGCATACACAAGTGGCTCCCAATAGAAACTTGTTTCCAAGTAGAGGGGACTTATGGGCAACCTGGTCTCATCCGATACTGTGCCATGAACATGAACACAGCAGATGATGAGCCAACATTGATGTGGGCCAAAGAGAAGCTACTCCACATAGATCCTATCCAACGCTCTTTGATATACGAGGTTGTGGACAGCAACATGGGATTCAATTCATATGTCGCCACTATCCAAGTATTCCCCGTACCTAAACCTACAACTTGTAAGATCCAATGGTCTTTTGTTTGTCATCCAATGGAAATGTTCACTTTTGAAGCCTTTTTCTCTTTGATTCGGTCTTTTATTCACTCCATGGCCAAGAACATGGAGCTAGCAGCATCTTCTCACGATAAATCTGCTTGATTTAGAATTTATTTGAAAGTAAGTTTAGAAATATATTTGAGTATTTCTCTGATGGAAAATATTTTTTATTTTTCAACTGAGAAACTCTCGTATACATTTCTAACTTGAATCTAATAAGTCTCTTAGTTAATTTCATGTAGTTGTGGTTGTGGGAAGATTTTTATCTGAAACAATTATTTTATTTTACACGGGTTCACCTTACGTGATGTTTGTATTTACGTGTGGTATATATATTTGTATGTTTTATGTATTGTTACAATTATGTAAGATGTGAATATTTATGTTGAGTTGATTAATTCAGAAATTGATTTGCTTTAATATAGGGTTTCTAGCATATTTGTAAATCTTCATTTCTGTGATCTAAACAGTGGTACGTAAATTAACCATTAGGTGAAGCTAGTAGTTGGGAGAATTGGGCCAAACCACGAATCACTCTGAACCAGCAAGCTTGCTCAGTTCTCGTTTTGTCCCTCCTCTTGTTTCATCCATTTTTTTTGTTATTGCTGTTGGGATCATTTTTATTTGTTCCAAAAGTCAACTTTGCTTGGTCAGTATTTTTACCAGAACCTGAGCCATAAGCGAAGAAAAAAAATGAAGACTACGGTTCTGTTTGAATTTTTTAAAACCACACGTTCGGTGAAAGTGAAATGTTTGAATTTAGGCTTATGTGTTTAGGGTTTAGGAACTTTGAAAATTCCGTAACTGCAGGATCGAAGGCACCTGGTAGTTGTTAGGTGATTAAGGGACATTGGATGAATGCTTGAATGAGTTTATAAAAAATAATTTATTCCTCTCACTTTCGGGGTTCTTTGTTCTTCTTTCTTTCCTCTGCCTCCTCTGATTTATCTTTGCATGGAGAGCCAGAAGTTCTTATAGGAAAAATTATTTAGTGATCAGATCACATGATCTAACAAGTTCTATATCACATATAATCAAATGTTATTATACTTTTCTTTTAAATTGAAAATTTTAAATGCAAGTTATATCCTTAGTAGTTCTTCATCACCTAATAACCTCTCTCACAATAGACAATGGATTACGCTTTTCCACTCTAGCACTGGTCTATGTAAGATTAAGGTTCTGATTGGAAAAGTTACTTTAGAAATATTTTGAAGAGAGAAAAAATGATAAAAAAAATTAAAATAATTTTTTTATGAGCTAAAATTAACTTTTGTTCCTACATTAAGTCCGCTGTCCGGCACGATTTTGTGAAACGATGTGGGACTTGTGGGACTTTTAGGCATACAGGAACAAGTTCCCCAATCGATGCTAAGAGGCAAGAGTGGCCTGTGCCCTCCTTCTAGCGCTAATGTTCCTACCGCATCCGAGGTATTGTCCGCTTTGGCGCTCGTTGGGCCGTCACGATTTTGTCCTTTAAAAGGCGCCTCGGTGGATTAAGGAGGAAGGGTGTTTATAAACTACCCTTAACCTCGACTCCAAAGCGATGTGGAACTTTTAGGCATACAGGAACATATATGAATTAAAATAATATTTTGAAGAAACTAATAAAAAACATTAACTTATAATTAAACTAATTTTATCTTATAGAGAAACGTCTTTTATTTTTTTTTCAATTTTAATTTATATGTCATTTAATAAAAAATATTTTTTATATTAGTATTTTAGATTTATGATAAATAATTTGTATTATAACAAAAAAATTTAGTTATTGATAATTAATTTTAAAATACTAATGTTTAATTTATAAATACTTATGATAAGTAAAAATTAAATTAAATAAAAAATTAAAAAAAATTCTATAAACTCTTTCATTGAAAAAAAAATTCTTTCATTGAGATGAAGTATAATTTTTTTTATTTACATGGAATTTGGCAAAACTATTCTACATTACAAACTTAAAAAAACTACTTTATAAAAGCTTTCAATTCATCTATTCGATTGGTTAATTCATAATTACGTAAATAATTAACTATTAAACGATGTAAATGCAAAAACTCATAAACATATGTTAATATATGATAATTTACATTATGTTCACTTGAGTAAAGTTAAGTTTGAATCTCTTAAACAAAGTCTTAAGTTTAAGTTCTATAAATAAAAGAAAATGTAGTTAAAAAAGGAAACTTCACTAAGAGTGGTAATTTTATGAAATTTTTAACATAAATTTATTATCAATAAATATTTTATACCTATAATTTAATTAAAAAAATTAATATATATTTAACACCGTAACTTCTTCAAAGGAAATCCAACCCTCATCATTCATAATAAACATTTCTATCATATTTGACCATCTTTTACATGTTAAATTCCACAAAAGAATTTTTTAGATTAATATTGGTTTCTACATCCTTGTTATTTTTTAATTTTTTTATAAAAAGAAACAGTATATAAAAACAATACGATTCTTGCCAATTCTGAATTAAGGGAAAATTAATATGGAGGTTTTGTCATATTACAAGTTTATATAATATTTTATAATATGTGCCTATATTAAGGGATATATGAAGAGTAAAGACACTCTATCAGGTATTAACAAATTAAACATTTGATAATGTCTATTCATATCAGAATCATTTTTTAGCAAGTGAATAAAATCTGGAAGTGGAGGAGAAGGGTGATGAAGAAAGGCGGAATAAAGAAGAATAAAAATGAATGTGGTTATCAGGAATTGTTTCTCTGCGGCGCACGGTGGTTTAAGGCGGAGTTATCTAGTAGGGGCAGAGTTATGTAGCTGCAAGAGCTGGTTAAAGAAGAAAAAGAAAAAAGAGTTATGTTGTTAGACCACACGTTGGACTTCCCCACGCCAGTCCTCACCTCAATTTAACCCAAGCAAGGTGTGTTTAAAGTTTAAACTAGTTTAGTTAATAGTTTACTAAACAAATTCTTATTATATTTTCCTTCTTTCATGGTATTTGAAAGAACTCAAGTCTTGACCTTTTTCTAAAGCTGAATCTAATAATATTCATCAATGAAGCTTGCCATAAAAAATTAAATTTAAATTGTTTCAGTAAGTTTTATGATTAAATAACATAATATCTCCTGACAAGAACTGGTTAAATAAGTATTTAATCAAGATTTTCTTTTCCTTATCAAACGCACGAATCAAAATTATGCAAAAGCAACATATAAAATATAGCATGTATAATTAAATAGCAGACATTACACATATTGAAAGAATGGTAGATCAAGAGAGAAGAAAACACTAGTAAAACTCAAGTCTATTAAATGTACAAGTTTCTTATATAAAACAAAGATCTTCACACAGTTTAAATATATAAATCCTAAAATGCAAGATGAATTACCTATCTGCATCCGCCTCCCCCTTGCCCGGGGCGATTTCAATTTTCTACACTTTACCAAACTTGGCATCCCTTTTCTTCTCCTTGTGTCTTGCCTTTGCCATTAATCCCCCCCATTATTGACATTTTTTTTTAATCAAATAGTGAATAATCTTTTTTGCATCCAGTTAATAATGTCATGAGCAATCTCTTCACGCTCTGGCTCAAACAGAAGGTCGTGTAAAAAGCCATCATAAAGCTTTATGTCTTTGAACTTTGAAGCTGCCTTATCATATAGATCTTGTGAGGCCAGTGGATCAGTTACCTTATCAGCAGTTCCGTGCAGGACAAAGAATGGCACTGTCACAGAGTTGAAGTTTCGTGTTAAGTAAGAGGATATTCGCAATATTTCATGGCCAGTTCGGACCCTTATGGGTCCTGTGTAGACCAAAGGATCAGAGTACTTGGCCAACAAAGCTGCTGGATCCCTCGAAACTGGAATGCCCCTTTTGTTTGCTCCTTTAAACTGGAACCTTGGAGCTACCAGAGAAAAAATTGGAGCTACAGCCTGCATCAACACATCAGACAGATTACCTTAACACATGAATAGATCAAAAAGCATGAAACACATTCAAAGAATGGTCTATAATTACACACATAAGGCGATGCAGCATTAAAATCTTGAGATTTTAGAAGTCAATGAGAAAATAGTAGTTATTGCTTATATACTATCTGAATCAGGAGCATTCTCCCCACCTAACGAAAACCATGATCAATAAAATGTAAAGGAGAGCTTGAGGTATAAGCCCTATTATAAAAAGGAATGGTTGGGACAAAAGATCATTGGCAAAGGAATAAGAGTCGGTTAGCATCATTTCTGCTGACACTGCTGTGAAACTGAAGGAATAGATGCAGAAGTGGCAGCAAATCATTACTGAGAAAGAATTCATCATTCATTTTTTATGTACTTCGTACGATAAGAATACAAATTGAAAGTCTGAATGCCTTTAAAAGTCCAGTATATATAATTACAAAGTAAAATAACACGTGATTGTGTGTTTATCCTGCTTCCAATTGGCCAAATATCAAATTAGTTAAGGATAATATGTTACTGGATACAATACTTTTAGAACCAAACTGGTCAAGTTCAAATTAAATATGTATCATAATAGAAGTATAAGTTTCAACAATACACATCGATATTTGGTCATAACAAATTTACATTTAGAATGTAAAACAAAATGAAAAATACTTTAGGTTATCTTTTTAAGGAAAAAAAAAAATCAAAATAATGTGGAATTAAGAATTTTCTACTGACCCACTCTCAACCGGTTTTTGCCAGTTTTGACTAATTGTTCTTTGACTGGTTTTTCTCTAGATCGATTCATTGGTTTATTTGAATTGGTTACTTGACCAATTCACCAGTTTTTCAGCCCAACCAGCCAGTTTGTCGAGTTTTCAAAAAACAGGATAAAGATCACATCTTACTGACTGTAGTTTGATTGGCAGAGTCAGAGAAATGACATTAGCAATTGAAAAAGGGGATTATTACTTCAAGATAACTCTGTATACTACAACATGTTTTTACTGCAAGCTTAAGAAATAAATCCAAGTGATCATAGCTAGCACTGAATAACAAATCAGAAACACGTTAATTTCAAACATCATGCACAACCTACAATTGCAAAACTTACACCAACAATTGGATGAGCTGGCTTCACACGTAAAGCTGGCGAGGTTAGTATAATTCCTTCCACCATTACTTCAATATGAGGATGAGAAGCCGCCTACATAGAATTTGTAGAAATTAAACTTCAAAATTCATCAAAGACAAATTTAATCGCAAAAGGTATACATAAGATTTAAGCCCTTACTTTCAAGACCACAGCCCCACCAGTGGAGTGACCAAAGAGAAAGCATGGAATCCCAGGATTATCTGATCTAATCTTTTCCAGGAAAGCACCCTATCCATGGCATTACAATCAGTATGTAAATTACACAGCAAAAATCACTGACTGACATTTGAAATGCAATAATATAATATATCTCCCAAGGAAAACAAGCAAAGAATAGCACAGAATATTTGAACGATGGATACATACTTACTATACTATTGAGACAACGTCAAAATAAATATAACTAGCAAGAAAAAAAATTAGCAAGTTAACTGAGACAACTGCACTACCTTATACTCTTAAGAATTAAAGATTAACATGCATTTGAACTTTACGCAATAGCTTATTTCACTGCTTACGTCTCAATGTTTGAAATGGTAGGAAAACTATCGACGCCTAAAACATTTTTCCATTCTAAGAACTACCATCACCAACAAAAACATATGCCACGAACGAGTCTATATTCATACAAATTGAAGAAAGTATATATATTACTTACTGTGTCTGCAACCACATGATCAAGAGAAGGAACATAACCATGTAATCCATCACTACCACCATGACCTGTAACAAACAGACAAATCACCCCAAATTCATCACAAAATGATAAGGGTAGGAATGCATTAGATTAAAAAGTATTGTGTACCAATGAGGATCACAGTGGGAGTAAATGGAAAAAGAAATCTCAAATTACCAATCCAGTCCATCGCATAGACACCAAAGTTGCATGAGGTTAATTGCCTTGCAAATTCTGCATATCTGCCACTGAAAAATGAGTACCAAGTCAGAAGTTGTGGGATAAATCCTATTATCTTACATTAGAAATAACAAAAGGAAAAAGATTTTAATGTTTTGACAATGACCTGAAAAATCAAACTTGGAAAACAAAAAGCAGACTACACTAGTCCCACAATGAAAAACAACTATTAAGCCCAGAAAGAATGCAGTTTCACAAAAAAAGTAGACCAAGCAAGATTACCTGTGTTCATTAAGCCCGTGAATGATGATCAGAATACCCCTGTAAGAACAAAAGGGAAAATAACTTGAGCCAAGTGTTAAACAAAGCAACACGACTGCAGGGAACAAAGAGCTAGCTATCCATGCTAACAAGAAAACAAAGCACAGGCAATGAACAGGAGCTTTCTCGAATTCAGATCCTCGCCATTTCTTGTACATTGCTATAATTTTGAATTTATAATAAATATTGATATTTTTTATAATTAACATTTAATGTTATTTATACATTTAAAACTATAGAAATGTACAAGCAGTAATATTTCTCACTAACCATTTGTCAAACTATCCCATCGATCATCTTGGGAAAAAAATGGAGAGAAAGAGAGATCTTAAAGTAAAGGACATAAAACAACCGAATCCTATGAACACAAACACAACTATTAAAATTTCTGAAGCTAAAGGCTTTGCTGTTTCTTAACAGTTAAGTTAAATAGTAAACCTGTCAGTCACTATTACAGCAACAGAACATAATAAATTAATTAAATTAATAATACATAATAAAGCAAATTGTGCTCAGCACGAAGAACACCATAATTCTAAAACCCCATTTGTAACTTTTTCTTTTAGTTTTTTGAGTCTCACAATTTCGATCACTTAAATTACATCTTCATTCATTTCTCTTACTCCAATTACTCTGCCCCTAAACAGGACTCAATTACTCCAATTTCACCCGAGTTCAGTTTCCAAATTCTCTCACTACCTCAAAACATATACATAGACACCACAAAAGAATTAACAAAACCCCATGAAAACAAACAGAGAAAAAGAGTTAAAAAAGTAAAGCGAAAGAAGGAAAGAAAAAAAAAACTTACTTAACATCACCATAGACGGGGAACCAAGAGCGGCAAAACAAGCCGTTATTTCTAACGCCGTAGAAGATAGAAGTGCTGCAACGGCACCACCCTTCGTCGCGACCCATTCCCACGTCCTGCGCGAGCGCTCTTCTCCGGCACGTGTCCTCCTCCTCTCGCACGAGCCAGCGGCGCCTCAAGTGCTTCTTGGGCGAGGATGGCGGCCCCGCCGTGGAGGAGAGGCGGCGGCGGCGCGGGAGAACGAAAAAGAGAAAGGAGAGGAAAAACGTGTAGACGAAGATCAACGAGGCCCGCAGAGCCTTCATAAGCGGAATTATGCGGTTGCTTGCCCCCGACGTGAGAGGCTCCATCCCCGTTTCGGAAGACATCGCTCTCTACGACGGAGACCGGAAATTAAACACAGAATCACAGAAACGAAGCCAATTACAGAACGGAACACCACAACTCTTTTGCAAACGCAATCTGGTTTGGTTTGACGTGGTTTGGCGTGTATTTATACCTGTTATGGATCCGTTTGTTTTGCGGGCCCCGAGATCCAACGGCTCAGACTGCGTCACTCCGATGATGTCTGTTTTTTTAAATAAAAAATGAAAGTAAAACGTTGTCGCATCCCACTCGTAACAATAAATGAACGGTGATTTCTTCACTACAGCCTATACTCGTTGTGATTCACGACCTCTTCGGCTGCTATTCTACACGTGGCATCCTTTCATTTGTCAGACTTGGCGGGCCTAAAACGCGTAGCGGTCATCACTCATCATTCTTGTTGGTTTCTGCTACCATTTGCGGAATTCATTTTTAACATAGTATTTTTTATTATTATTTTTTCACAGAATTATAACAGCATATTTAGGTTTACAAGTGTAATACAAAATTACAATTTATTTTTGGTTCGCAATCTCTAAAAATATTTTAAATTTGCATTCGAATAGATTTTTAGTTTATTTTATAATTTTTCATAAATTATAATCAATAAAAGAATATATGCTTTTTCTTACAGGATTACAATAAATATGTTACGGATTGCGTTATTAATATTTTCTAAAAAAGTACTAAAGTATGTAGCAGGGGTAATTACCAAAAAAGTACTATGTAGTAGGAGTATTTATTAAAAGTGTAAGATTTGTTGTGCAATGTACATACATACATATTACATAGATAGAGTAAATTAAAATGATGTGGATTCTCATAGGAGGCGGAGATTTCGATTCCAATAAATTGGAGCTTTATGAAATGTACGACGTGTTTCTTGCTCTATCACATTACCATTACAATTACCATTAGCCATTAGCTGACAATAACTAAACTAGTATACTTCTTCGCTATTTCGTGGCCTCCTTTTCTCCTCACGTTCCTGTCTCATGCTTTGAAAATTTCTTCTACATTTCCACCGTCACATCTTCACAAATTTAATCGGATCTTATATTTTAGATCTTCTCATTAGCTCATTTCTTACTCATTCCATTCCACAAATCATTTATATTTCTTTCCAGTTTTTAAGGAAATCAATATATTCATATTTTTAAAAATGTAATTAAAATGAGTAATAATATCCAATACGTTAAAAAAAAAAAAAAAGAACATAAAAAAGGAAAGGATAATTTTATTCCTGATATGAAGTAATTTAGTGAAAAGAGTTATTTTCTTAATTATATATATAAATAAATAATTGACTGTTCTTTAAGTTTTCAAAATATTAAATATTTTTATTTTTATTTAACATTTTTTTAAAAAAAATTTATTAAGAAGATTTGTAAGAAAATTTATAGCAGGATATAAAATTACTCGAATATAACGATAAACCTGCAAGGCTGCAAATCATTTATAACAAAGACGGTAAACGACAACGCAAATTCAACCAATAAATAAGGAAGATAGCAAAGACAACTAACATACCGTAGAAACCAATGAGAGCGAAATTGAATATTAACATTAATTGTGTTTGTTTAGCATGAAAAGAGAGGGTGTAAAATGAAAGGAAGTGAAATGAATGAATATGTGATATTTTCATTTGTATCACTTCTTATTTACTCTCCTTTATTCTTTTATACAATAAAAAGTATAATTAAATTATTTTATTCATTCCTTAATTTTATTTATTTAAACAGTATATTTTCTCTTAAAATTTCTTCAATTTCTATCCTTTTTATTTTACTTTTTTCCTCACAATTTCATTTGCTATATGTAAAAAAAAGAATGAATAAACATTTAGAATTGAATTAAAGGAGCATTAAAAGTACATGCATTGTTTCTGGTGTTACGATTATTTTAAGAGTTCACCGTTGATATGTACGCTTTGTATGTGTTACAAAGCGATACGTCTTTCCAACCATGAGCCATTCGCTCAACTACTATTTGCGGACAATATTCTTCGCGGCTAAATTATCTATAATCTACTAATACTTATATAGATAGAATATTAAAAAATTATATATAATTATTTAGAAAAAATATATAATTATTTTTATATTTGAAAAATATAATAATTTATTAAAAAGTGAAGACTAAAAATAGTTCCATATCCAAGTATTTTTATATATTAATATAGATAATAATATACAATATATAATAATATAAAGAGAATATATTTTTTATGTTTACTTTTTAAATAATTATATAAGAATAATTAATTATTTAAAAATAATAACTACTCATTTTTTTATATGAAAATATTTATTTATTTTATTTTTTTACGGAGGCATAAAATATATTTTTTCTATTAGTATTTATAAAAAAAATGTCTATAAGTTTTTCAATTGATCATTTATTTTTTTATTAATAAATGCACTATAATGAATACAATAAAATATCAAACTTAATCTCAGTTTTTAATTGTTAATTATATTTCATTAGGAATTATTTACATTTGTGGATATATTTTTATTTTGAGTAATTATACATATGCAATGATTTGTACAACAAATTTTCTTTTTATCTATGTTTCCCCAATAATAAATTGAGGTATTGAAAATAGATAAACACAAATATTAATGTCACATAGGTTGTTATACAAATTTATTATACATGTATTTTTATTAGCAGTAAGTCAAAATAATTCATATTTTTATTAATCTAATTGATATCGTAGTTAATTCTCATATTCTTTTTTAAAAAGATTTTTTTTATATATATTAGTATATATTATTAGTAACTTCTCCTAGCAGTTTCCTTCAAGTTAAGGGTCTTTATCACTCCTTTGAATTGATTATGTTGTTACTCCAAGATGAACTAAAGATTGCAAGCTATCTTTATAGAATTCCTTATTTCTTGTTCGAATTCGTCGTACTTAAGTCTTTTTCAACTAACAAAAGATATTTTAACCCCACTTAATTTGATTTGTTGAAAATTTTCTTCAACAAATACGTGACTGAGTTTAAAATTAGAAACGTGTTAACAACGATCCTAACAATACTTTGTGTATATACTCGATTAATTGCAATAAAAATATTAAAATATATGTTTAGACTAAATTTATGATATTAAATGTTATATATTTTTATAATATTTTATATTTCTTTTTTTATTTTTATTCAGCTCCAATATTTTCTTAAACTCTAAATGGTAAACATTTTTTTTCTAATTTAACTTGGAATCCCGCTTTTTTTTAATATTTTATTTTATAAAGTTAGTTAACTCGACTCATCTACATTAATTCACCACAATTGCTTATGAAAGTTAGTTAACCTAACCTAATTCACTTATTTTGTGAGTAAAAAAAATATAATTTGATTTAACTCACTATTGATTAATTAACAAGTTAATTCACCTAATTTAAAAGGAAAGAAAAAATATGAAAAAATATAGATGCAAAAAATAAGAAAATAAAATAAAAAATTCAAAAAATAAGAAAATAAAATATAAGTAGCAAGAAAATTATATATATATATATATATATATATATAATAATAATA